GTTTAAAGTTCCCTATGGATTCAGAATGATTTTCCAAGCTGACCCCCATTTTTTTCCTGTTGGAATGAGGTACAATTGTACTTCTAGTATCTTATGTTTGAGAGGTTTCCAACCCTCCTGCCATCCATTTAAATTGAGAATTTCTGTCCAAAGCATCCCAACTAATATTTCTCTGAGCTTGCTGAAATTGGCTCTCTTAAAATCTGGTGGGCATGTATTCAACCAGCTCTTTTTTATTGGTTGGGATCAGATCTAGGAGAGTTGATTATCTTGTCTCTTCTGCAGCCTTTTGGAAAATGAAACAGTAAGACCATTGAGGAATTTCTGGAGCTTTGCAGTCTTGGCCGTGAGGGTTGTCCATTACATGTCCAGGTAGTTAAAGTCTTCTATTATTCCTAAGTCTGCTCTCTGAAAATTAAGGCCCAGAAGAACATTATCCAGATATTCTGCCTGTTTCAGTGGTCTATAACATAACCTCGCAATAATATCTTCGTTGTTTCCCTTCCATTGTGTTCTTCCCAAATATTCCTGATTGGTCATTCATGCTCAGATTTATGGATCTCAGAGCATGGGTGGACCTCCTTCAAGCGTGATGTCACCCTTCTCTCTTTGTGTGTGGCCTATTCCTTTTGAATAAATCGTACCCTTCAATCCTTGCATTCCACTTATGAATTTCCTCCCCCTACGTTTCAGCATTGCCCATTAAATCATATTCATCTTCCTGCATTAAGACTTCTCGTTCTCCCCATTTGTTCTCTACTTGTGAAATAGAAGATTATTGTTTCCCTGAGGAAAGTTTGCCCTGAGCTATTTGGATTCAGAATAAATACATTTTAAATACTTTTAATAGCTTGAGACTGATGAGGCTTCTGCTCTATTAAGCTTCCTTTCAAGATTTCCTATATGGGCCATCCAGAAACCCTTACAAGAAGAAATGTGAGAACATTTATGGGAATAAGAAGTTTCATGATTGTTGGTCTAAGACCCTGGGATTGTTTACTGGAGGAAATGTGGCTTATAGCAAACTTTCAACATGAGAAGGGTCTTGCTGGATCAGGCCAGCAGCCCATCTAGACCAGATCCTACCATGAACAGTGGCCAACCAGCTGCATTCAGGAAGCTCACAAACACGAACAGTCTTTAGTGAGTGGTATTCACAGTATGCTGCCTACGTTTCCAGAGATGTAAATAGCCATCAAGTAGCCACTGATAGTCTGGACTTCCACAAATATTCAGTCTCAGTGAGAACTGTGTACATTATTTTTTGATGGCAGTGAATTACAAATTTGATGGCAGTGAATTACATACTGTAGTTTATCTTAGTGTGGTCAAAGAAATACTTTTATCACCCTTGAATTTTCTCATATTTTCTTTCTGACTTTAAAAAAGAAAATACAAAGCATATCTTTGTATACTGGGCTGTGTGGGCTTTTCAGAAAATTTTGAATTGGAAATTTTTCGATGCAAGTGAGTATGGTTAAATTAGCATATTTGTCTCAGCATCCATAGCCTGTGTAAAAGTATTTAGGCTACAATATTTCATGTGGGGAAAAAAAATCTTGCTTATTTTATGAGGCTTGGACATGACATTTAAATAAGATAAAAGCTCTGATGTGTGGAGAAAAATTATTGTTACTGGAATGTTGGATATAGTGTTGAGCAATAAAATAATATCCAGTTGCATTATACTTTTAGTCCTCAGTTGTTTGGAGCAATCATCTGAAAAGCAAATATCATACCACTTTGAAAATGCCAAACTTGCCTGAAGTGGAACATTGTCCACGGGAAGATTTAATCCCAGAAAACTTTCAGCCCACATTTCTGTTTATTGTGATTTGTTTTTATTTTTAATCGGAGAAGTTTTATCAGATGGTTTTAGGATATTATTGGTAGTTCCTCTAGCCTCTGCAAAGAGATTTGCCTTCTTTTCTGCTTGAATCTTTGATCAGTGGAATGGGGGAGTAGTAAAAAATGTAAGTACTCAACTGGTGGGTTCTTCCCTTTGACTTCTTAAACCAGCTGGT